CCGTTCACTGAATTGGTCAATCTGTTCACTGAATTAATCAATCTGTTCACTGAATTGGTCAATCTGTTCACTGAATTGGTCAATCCGTTCACGGAATTGGTCAATCTGTTCACTGAATTGGTCAATCTGTTCACTGAATTGGTCAATCTGTTCACTGAATTGGTCAATCTGTTCACTGAATTGGTCAATCTGCTCATTGAATTGGTCAATATGTTCACTGATTGGTCAATCTGTTCACTGAATTGGTCAATCTGTTTACTGAATGGTCAATCTATTCACTGAATTAGTCAATCTTCTCACTGAATTGGTCAATCTGTTCACTGAATTGGTCAATCTGTTCACTGAATTGGTCAATCTGTTCACTGAATTGGCCAATCTGTTCACTGAATTGGCCAATCTGTTCACGGAATAAGGCCATTTTGTTCATCGACTTGGCCACACTGTTCACTGAATTGCAGCCATTGTGAGATGAGACTGAAATGTCGTATTTTAGGAGGCACTACCAAATTTACAATCATTTGTATCTCTTTAGATTGTGTCTCATTTATAGTGTGCATTTTAATTTTTGAGTGAAAAACAAAAACAAATCTAAATGGTCTAAAAATGACACATAACAGCTTCCATTTCACTCTTATCATTTCATGTTTATAAATATTAATAAATTATTATCATTTTAGTAAAACGGTGATGATTGCTGCTCTGTCACCCGCTGACATAAATTATGATGAAACGCTTGGTACGCTCCGATATGCTGATAGAGCCAAGAAAATCAAAAACAAAGCTGTGATCAATGAAAACCCTCTAGATAAATTGATCCGTGAACTTCGAGAAGAAAATGAAAAACTTAAGAAGGCACTTAGCAGTGGCAGTGCTCTTCCTACAGAGCAGGTTACTATGTCGGGTTTGACAGCCGAAGGTACTAAGAAATTTCATTTCTGTTATTTTTCTTCATGTTTAAGTGCTGTTGATGAGCTTGATGACTTATATAAAATAAAATAATTTATATAGATAGTTTCGATATACTGAGAATGGCGCACTATGAGTTTATCTCCTAATTATTATTTTTTTAGAGCGTGAAGAGATGAGAAAACAAATGGAAGAGGAAATACGAGCTCAGCTGATGGCAAACATGGAAGCTCTTGAAGAGTCAGGATCAAGCTGGGAAGAAAAGGTTATATAAGATAAAATGTCTCATTGTTCAGTAGGGGTCCCATGCGATGTATGCATTATTTGTTTACATGCAATTGGGATGTGCACTGCAAAGTGATTATGTTGATTCAATTATAGAGCACAGTTGAAGTTGAAGTTGTCCAAAGTGAAGTGAATTTGAGTATTATTGGTACTCATGTTTGAAACATATTCGCATGCAGAAAAACCTATATTTGCTCCCATCTCTCTTCCGCATTGCCAGAGACTCTTTCGGTCGCAGATTGGCCTGCGGACCCACAAAGCGAGTTCACCCTGACTTCAGGATGACTAGATGGACCTTCTTGTATCAATGGACGAACAAGAAGTGTATCACATTTGTTGTTAATCAGTAAATATATTCCTATTTAATTGCAGGCCGCCAGGGACCATGCTGAATTTGATGCGGAAAATAAAGCCGTTGTAATGACGGAGGCCAGGAAAAACAAAGAACCATATTTTATGAATTTGAATGTAGACCCCCTGCTGAGTGGACTGGTTGTCCATTTCTTGGGAGGCAGTCAAACTACCATTGGTCGTAAGGATGCTGAACCCACACCTACTGTTATCTTATCAGGGTTGAGGTTAGTATAATCAATGTCTTGTATTTTGTCCATGTATGATATGATCAAAGTGTAGTTCAATGAATTCTAATTAAAACAGCAAATGTAATCTTGTTGTTGATCCATTAATACCCACCTCCAAAACACCTTGAAAAGTGTGAACAAAATAGTTGGAAACGATGTTATTTTTTAATAGCGTTATCTCATCATCAGACATCTTCCAGTAGCGATGTAATGTAATGTAATAGGATATAGTGTTTTATTTTTGCATAATTGGACTGAACTGTGACTTGAGAACACATTGAAAGTCATACACTGCCTTTAATGTCTGCATCAGATGTACTCATTTTCCTCATTTTAGATAAAAACATTACAATGGGGTTTTTGCACACAGTAGTCAAAATAAACATTGTCATGTGAACGTTTTAGTTTCCCATCACCCCTTAGACTTGTCATAATTTTTTTACAACCAAACACAACTGTTTCAGCTGGAAAAGTATTACAATGAATTTTTTGAGATAACATTCAGTGTGTTGTTTATAATAGTAGATACATTTTGACTGTATTTTACACATATTTGGGACAAGAAATAAACACAGCCATACATACATCTGAATTGTTTATATCTAATATTATTATACATTTGTCTTTGTAACACCATAAGTACAGCATGCTGTAATTTTGCGGTATTTTTCGGGGTATTTTTATCCTACCATACAAGGAAATGCAAATTTCAAATATGGAATGATTACACGCATAAGTGTCCTCTAATAA